CCCAATGTTCAAATTTCCCCCGGGTGGCCCGTTTTTTCCCCCCCCCCCCCCCACTTGAGGGGCCTCCCTCCCTTTCAACAAAAAGTTGGCCCCCCTTTTGGGGTCCCCAGAAAAACCCAAAAGGAATTTTTCCTTCCCGGGGGTTTTTTTTGGGGGCTCCCCCCTCCCCCCCCCCTTTTTTTTCCCACACCCGGCCATTTCGGGGATTTTGGGGGCGAAACCTTTTGGGCCTTAAAAAGGGCCCAAAATTTGAATTTTTCTTCCTTCTCTTTAATTTCCGGCGGCCTTCGTTAACCCCCCGGTGTTAAAAAAAACCCCCCCCCCCCCCCCCCTTTCCTAAAACCCCCCCCCCCCCCCCCCCGCCCCCACCCCGTATTCCATCTTCCCCTCCGACTACGCTTACCCTCCGCTGCATCGCCGACTTTCGATTCAGGAAAGGCGTCCGTTTGCTCGTGCGCGTGCATGGCTTACTACCGTGCACACGGGATTGATTGTGATTCCCCCGAATGCTATCAAACAGCAGCAGTTTATACATCACCACGTCAAAGTGTGTCGCACAAGACGGCAACGACAGGACAATGGTGGTGGTGCCACAGGTGTCAACAGAAGCGGCTCGCGGGCAAGACCTCCGATGCCGCCCTATCATGCGGGCGCAGTTCTTAGGCCGCAAAATCGTCCGTCGCGCGTGGATCCTCTCTGCCTTCATGCAAACATTTGCCGGTCGCACTTGGATCCTCTCTGCCTCCATGCGAACAATCGCTTCTTGTGTCGCTCGCTGCCGTCTCCACCTTTCTCGCCGTCTCCAGGAGAGAGCCGGGACGGCCCTTGACTGAGAGCTCGCAACGGCGCCTGGAAGCGAAAACAGCGAGAATAACGGAGAGCAAAAAAAAAAAGCGCCGCCGCCGACCGCACGCCTACTACTGTATAATCTCTAGCACCCGCCCTTCTCTCGCCGTAGCCTACAAACAAATTAGCTAATTTCTCCGCGACCGTTTTCTTGGCGGAAAAAAACCTTGCGTACCAAATCTTAACAACAAAAACAACAATTCCACCGACAGATCCACCTAAAGTACAGCACGAACGTCTCTAAGGCGTGCCTGCTACCGCCAGCGCAACCAGGCCTGCCCAAACGCTTGGTCCAAGATATAGCCACCGTGTTGTCGACCTCGGTAACATGCCGAGCCGTCACACAGCCCATGTATCTCCCATCGAGCGCGTACAGCGTTTGCACATGGACATCCATGCGTTCCATGAACCACTAACATGTGCACCGCGGATATCCGACAAGTCAGACAGCCTTCGCGGGTTCGCGAAACGCTAACTGCCTCCCACTTTTTTTAAATGTGCACATCACTAGGTGCAACCAAACAAAAACAGCAGAAATGCAAAACAAACAAGCAAAACTAGATGACATACGAAGAGTTGGCTTCGTCCACCCACCCCCCAACAATCAGCGTGTCCTACAGCAGAGAGGCCATTACCCCGAAATGACCATCATCCCGATGAGCCCCGGCCCATCATGCCTCGGCGGAAACGGCCTGAGGGTCCTCTCCGGCCGCCTCGGACATGGCCGCGTCCTTGTCGTCGCCGCCCTCTCCTCTTCCCCCGTCACCCTCGCTGCCGGCGGCGTCATCGTCTCCCTTGTGGTCGGCGTCACCGTTGCTGTCCTTGCCGTTGGCGGTCCCGTTAGGCTCGGAGGAGTCGCCGCGGCGGGGGCTGTCGCGGCTCCGGTCCTGCTGCCATCGATGCGAAGAACGAGAGGAGAGGCAGGACGGGACGCGTAATTCTTGACGTGAATCGGCTTCTCGACACAAAAATCAATCGGGTCATCGACCACATGTACACAAGGGCCGTCGTTTGTGGTCCACGAAACTGATGTAGGAAAGCGCAGTCGCTCTCCGGCGAAGCACACCGCGGTTGGACAGTCTCATGCAACCCGCTCCCGTTCAACACAACCCTTTACATCGACAAAGAGGGGAATAAAACAGGAGACGGCGAAGCTAACAAACACGACAGCAAAGGGCTCACAATAAAACAACTCAAATATTGTTGTATTGTGAGCGGGGAAGGCTCGTAATCTCACCTTGGGCTCGTCGCCATCGTCGTCGTCGTCGTCCTTACGGGAGGACTTCCTCCCCCTGTCGGAGTTCCTCGAGCGGGAGCGGGAGCGGGAGCGGGAGCGAGAGCGAGAGCGGGAGCGGGAGGGGGACCTAGAAGACCTCCTCCTGTTACGGCTGGGCGACCTGCTTGGGCTTCGGCTCTTGCTCCTGTCGGGAATGAAAAGGGCGCGTCCAAACCGTGCAGACAGCATTACCAGCGTGTGGTGCGCGACATGAGAGAAAAAAAAACAGTTCTGGCGGTGTAGTTGCGTGCGAAAAAAGCTTTCCGCACATAAAGGAAAAAGGGGACAAGCGGCGCGGCAGAACGAATGAACAGCGCACGCAATGACACGGAAAATAGGAAACACGAAAAAAAAACGCAAACACGAATTCGTCTGCCTCTACAGCAGTACCCACCACATCTCCCATCGCTCTTTTGTTCGCGCACAACCGGTTCAGTTCAGCCCCTTCTTACCTCGAGGCAGAGCGGCCGCGGCGGCCGCGGCGCACGCTCCTGGACCTCGACCGCGAGCTCGAGGGCGTGCGCGCCCTTCTGCTCCGCTTGGGAGAGCGGGACCGGCTGCGCGAGTCGCGGCCCCCGCCGACGCCCCTGTGGGGAAGGACCTGGGTACAGTAGCACAGATAAAACGGGAATTGGGGGTGACAGAAAGAGGATCAAACGAGGAGACACATTTCTTTATTTTTTTTTATTTTTTTTGGAACAGAGGTATCCACAAGCCGTGGCGGCCATGGAGGCGAAAGATCAGTGGTGAAGCCCCAACCCAAGTTTCTGTGCGTGCCGACCACCTCCAAGAGATGTGAGACAAAAAAACGGCAATAACAACATGCAGAAAGGAGTGCAGGTTCTTGGGCGAGGCGTGGGAGCACGGATAGCACAGAGAAGCTCTCGTTCGTGTGTCAAAGCTGAAACTTCTGGAACAGCTTTCTGTGTTCACATGAAAATAATCTCCAAACCTTGCAGCCCTCATCACGAAACACAAGAAAATAAAAACGACCTCTCGCCTCCCTTGTTCTCCTTTTTCATTTGAGGCAACCGCGAAAAAGTAGGCACCTGTATGCATAGAAACTTCGAGCTTCATGAACCACCGGGAAAAAGGAGGCTGACAGTGGCATCAACTTACGCTGATGCGGCTCTTCTCGAAAGGGTTCCTGAAGTCCGACCCGTCTAGCTTCCGCAGGGCATAGTCCATGTCGTCCCTGGTCCTGAAGTGGACGATCCCACCGCCCTTGTGGTCCTGATACCGCCACGGCAAGGGTAACAAGTAGAGGCGACGAGGGAGGAGGCAAGAGTAAAAAATAAAGGCAACTGAGGGAGGAGAAAGGGTGTGGGGAAGGGGCAGCAATATCAAAACATACGAAGGCGAGCATTGCAAGTTCTTGCACGGAGCCGTCCGGGTATTATGCGTGTATGCTCTGCCGTGCAACACTGACGCTGCAGCTCGTGAGGGCTTACACCTAGTGGTGTTCTTCCCGGCAGTTGCGTGAGTAGCGGCTCCCGCGGAAACGTTCTTGCTTGCCTCCGTTCTCGCTCTGTCCGGGTTCGGTAGGTGATGACTGGTCTACCAAACAAGCCTTCAGTCGCCTCTTGTTACCCCTGGAAACATCAACTCCTCGACGAACGCCTGCTCTCTAGTTTCACTTACAACATCGGTGTAGGTCGGCTCGCCCGCCTTCCGCATGTGGTCCTTCAGGTCCTGCCAGCTGGCGCTGGGCGGAAGCCCGGTAACGATGACACGGTATTCCGTCTGCTGGAAGCCAGCTGCGCAAACACACACACAAAGGTTCGGGATATATACAGGGCGGAAGGTAAGTGGTCGCACACACCGATCAAAAATGAGCAGTGTTCGCTTCCGTCGGGAACAGAGAACGAGTACATTGTACGTATGACGCACGAAGTCGGTGCAACTCCAGCCGATAGTGCACGACGAACTTTGTGGCGGATACGTTCCGCGATGACTGCCGCTCGAACAAATCAAGAGCAAGGATGGAACCCCCCAGCTTGTAACATACTACTCACCGCCTCCGCGGCCGCCGAATCCACCTCTTCCCCCTCCCATCGGCATGCCCATCCGGCCTCCGTGTCCCCCTCCACCCATACCGAAGGGGTCGCGTCGCCCGCGGGAGATCTCCACGCGCAGCCGGCTTCCGTCCATGTCGTACCCATCCCTATCGCAACGACAACGCGGCCGAGGGGGGGGGGGGGCGAGCGGGGTTTTGTTTGCGGGTCTGGGAAAACCCGGGGGGGGGGGGGGAGAACGGCCGGCTCCGGGGACCCCCCCCAGGGTGGTGGGTTTTTTTTTCCCATTTTGGGGAGGGGCCCCCCCCCAAAGTTAATGTTTTTTAAAGGGGGGTGGGTCTCCCGTTTTTTCCCGGGGGAAAACAGGCGGGTTTTTCCCCGGGGGGAGCCCGGTCTTCTCTTCCCCGAAGGGCCCCCCCTTCCCGGGGGGGAACAGGGGGGCCCTTTTTCCAAAAAAACCGGGGGAAGGGGGTTGCCCCCCGGGGGGCCAACCCCGGCACCAAAGGGGCCCCAATTTTTTTTGGGCCCCCCCCC